AAATGAAAATAAATTATTTATTTCTATTTATCTACGCTTACTGAAGGCTTATACTGTGCTACAATACTCATTATGAATACAAAATGATCATTAACTACCTCTTGCTTGTTCATCATCTGTACCTTCTTGCAGTTACTTTGCACACTCATGTAACCCCTCTGCACACAGGCAGAAAAACCTCTGGGAAGATGAAGGTCACTTTTTAGAAGTGAAGAATGCAATGGAGGAACACACAATATAGATTCTTAGCCTAATAGAGACTATTTGTTTGGCATATTTGCTGTCCCCTTTTTGGTGTTTTACCTCCTCTAAAACAAATGAAGCTTGTAAAAGACCTTGTGAGATTTAATTCTTTCCAATGAAGAAACTTCTAGATAACAATGGCATTCAAAACCGTATTTTAAAGCAGTTGAATTAGGAAAAAAGAGATATATTGATGCTATTCCTTCAGTATCTTTTTATAACTGTCAAATATTTAAAAAAAAAAATAGGTGCTAACCATACTGAACAGTTTGAAATATAAATTAAATTCATCAGCCTGTGAAAGTCTGAGCCTTAATACAGGGCAAGATGCTCTTTAATATATTTAAAAGTTCACATTGCTCATAAAAGTTACTTCTTCCTCATTTAGGCAGGAAAATGAATGGAGTCCTCTTCTCCAGGTGACTTTGCCTCTTTGACCTGCCATGGCCCACTGCTCACTTTATCTGGTGATTCATTTTCAATAACTCCAACAGTATTTGTTCTGACATTTTAATTAAAATACGACCACTACCTCATCCTGATGATAAAAAGGCCTATGTGTCAGTGAAAACTAGCTTTTCAGTGCCTCAGTGCACCTGAGGACCCCTATGATCACAGAGTTTCTACAGAAGAATTTCAGTCAGGTTCTACACAATATATCATTTCAAAACTGGATCACTTTAAACATTAAGATTAATGCTATCCCCCCCAAATGATTAGAAGACACTAAACTGCAAGGTAATCTTTTCTTCACCAACTGAGTCTTTGAAACATATGGCGCTATCTTGAAAATTTAAGATATATGTTAAACATTAAAAGTTGGAAATTAGCAGGCTTTAAATTAACAAACATCAATATGAAAAGTGTTTGCTCCTCTCCAAACTAATAAAGTTTTCTGTTTTCAAACCCTAGTTTTATTCTACACATTATAAGCAAACCAATTATAAATATTCTAAAATACTTCCATATCTTACTTACCTGAGTATATACAAACATAAACACTTCCTCTGACAGCTAAGTATTATTTTCTCATAGAAGATCTGTGATTTATTGTATTTAAGTATGAGCACACTACCTTTAAAAATGCTTTGCCAGGCTTACAACATAGCAGCATTTTCTATGTGCACAGTACTTACCCTCTAAGCATCTACCAAAAATATGATTAAATTCAAGATCTCAGAATTAGATTTCAAAAGACTTCTGTTGAACTAGCTCAAAGTATCTCAGGGAACATTTCTTTCTAGGCAACAACTGCTTCGTTAACAGCTACTTTCCTCTGGGACTGTGAAATGGTCCATCTCAAGGTCAAAGTTCATGGAAGTGACTAACAAGGTTTCCTTAAATTAAGGGCCAAATAGTCCATTACTGGAAATTTCTGGAAACCTATCTTCCTGGTAACACTGCAGCATTTAACAGCTTTATGCTTCCACTGCTTAAAGCAGAATCCAGAGAATTTCAACTAACAGCAGCAAACAAGGAGGCACTTTGAAGAAGACAACAAAAGGATGAGCAGTCTTAGAATAAAAGAAGTCAAAGGAAAACTTAAGAAGCGTATTGCACTGAATACACATCTGGCAGCTGGAGGAGAAAAGCAGATCACTAACTTTTGGGGTTTTGATAACTTGTTACGAATACCCAAGTGATAGAAATCACTAAAAATGGGACAGTGTGAAAAACCAGATCCACAAATATTTCATGTCACTACTGCACCTTGGAAAGACATGCTGAAAAGCTAATATGTTTCCATGAAAAAAAAAAGTGAGAAAAATTAAAAAGGTTCTAGGCACAGCCTTGGTCCCTGTATGCTGAAATTAAACCACAGCTGAAGATGACTTGGAATATTAGATAATGAAATACAAAAAACCTGACATCTGTCTAATCACTCTCACTCTCGAAATAGAATCCTTTACTATGAAATGCTCATATCTAAATAGCAGCTCACCATATGTTGACTCCGATGACAGATTCAGATGTGCAGTAACAGATTCTTTAGTTACAAGGGTGAATTATATTTTTTAAAAATAAGCTTTTAATACTTGAGTTATTTTTACCTTTTTCTGCATTTAGATTGAATAACTTCTGTACAACAGGTTCTAAATCTTCCCTAGCAGTTTTAGTTGATGGACAGGTTAAATGGACTAAATCTGTTAAAAGAGAACACAATCTAATTACAATCACCAATACACAGATATAAAAATATCATTTACAATTTTCAAAAGGCAAAGCAGACTCTTAGAAATCACTGCTCTTCATATAAATCACTTTCTTTAACCCAGAGAACTACTTTATTATGGAAATACAGCTTTTATACACCACACAGAGAAATTTTCTTAATACATCTCAATTATCTCTCTCTTCCATGTATGTTGGCAAGATGAAAATATAATTTAACCTCAGCAGTGCAGACAGAGAATGTCATTCTATGAAAAGGTGCCTACTGACATCAGGAAAAGGAGCAGCAAGAATCAGGGTAACACATCATATTTGCCAATAGTTCAACAACATACCAAACCCACAAATACCCCTGCTTGCATCAGAACTCTCCTTTAAGAGCTGAAGTGGGACTCCACAGGATTTTGGAAATTTGGCTACTCACAGTTTCAGTCTGTCTGTACAGGAGTAAGGGGGAAGCCATCTTCCTCCACTGAAGTAAAAAACTTGAAAAAGACTCAAATTTCTTTTATTGTACTAAACAGTGAATAGGAGATGAATAGATTTATGTTTGAAGTTACAGCTCAACTGGGCTGGCAGTTAACTATCTCTCTCCAGCCACACAGAGAATAAAGAACACCAGGAACACTGTCATGTTTTGACAAACTAGAGAATTTAAAGATAAGCACTGCTGACTATCAGAGAACTGTTCTCTGATGTAACATATGCAGTCCCCTAGCACAACATAGCAAAAAACTTCTACAATATTTTATTCACCCCACCTTCTTATAGCATGGGAGAAAACAGCAGTTCTGTGTTTGGGTAAGGGTGAAATTAGGCTAGGTGGGCCAGGAGGGAAGTATGGTAATTGGCAAAACTGATTTTAAGTACTTGATTCCAAGAGGTGCTCTGTACACATCAGAAACAGATCCCAGATTACAGCAAACCCATACTGTAAAAAGATGATACGAAATAGTTTTGGACCACAGGAACACATTTGTGAAACTGTATAATTAACCAAGCATCACCTTACAGCAAGGACATTAATTGGGCAAATCAATGTCACTAAATCCAATTTTGTATTTGTGAAAATTCAGAGTTTTGCTGAATAATGCAGATTTGATATTTAGATTTCTTGCTAATGTAATTGTTTTCATGAAAATAAAGTTGCTAAACAGATTCCTCATGGAACATACTAATCTTTCATTTGTTCTATTTAGCAAACTACTGAAGATGCTGGCTCCATGATAAGGATGAAAAGAAAATCACTTGATGCAGCTCTTGACGTCTTTGCTGTTCCACTGGTCTCCATTCAGATACAGTAGCAATTACTCTGCTGTTTTATCCCACTGGATTTTACATCCCTTGATTCAGATATTTAAAAGCCTCATCTTAAAGCTTTTTCTAAAACCCCCTTAATGGAACAGCTGTCTGGAAACTTCTCAGCAGAGAAGTATCTGTCAGAGAATCATGAAGCAGTTTAATATACCTTTGTACAAAGTTTAAACTGATTAATTTTTAATTCATTACTGTACATTTCTGATTAATTTCATAGCAATGCAGTGTTATGGTGTTATTTTAAATCCATATGGCATTTTTCTCTTTCACTCTGAAGTCTGGCTATATTTGTGCCATTATTTCCAAGTACATCATACATATTTTGAATGATTTCCTGGCTGCAGTTATGCCACCTAAAGTTGGACACTGACTCCAGGAGAAGAAATTCAACCCTTTATGCTTCTCTTCTTTCCGACTGCACACACAGAGCTTATATTTTAACATTAATTTTTATTTAACCAAAACCAAACGTTATAAAAGGAATATATGCTAAAAAAAGGTAAAAGAAAACAGGCAGCAATAACGAAAGCCTTCCCATAACCTTAACTAAATGTTTACAATCCCAAATGTTGTAATACAATCTATTCTTTCCTTAAAAAAACCACCCAGATATAAATCACTGAAGTTCACATCCTTTGCTTTCTATAAAATCTTTTTATTATCTTTAAGGTTATGGCCATGAGTCACAGTCATCAGTATATATTTTGATTATATTTGATTTACTCAGGTATAACTGCATTAGTTACAGTGGTTGCCAACATTTGTCTTCACGTAATTCTTCTAGCAAGAAGAACGATGAGTTTAGTTCATGATTTCATCATTACAGTCTCAATTTTTAGGGCAAGTGAAGGAATTTGGTTCCACTCAACTGGCAATACAGATTATGTGTCTGTCATTTATGCAGTGTGATCAAAGAGTAGATGTATTTGTATACTTATCTTAAATAATTGTTTGAAGGAGAAATCACTCAGGTTAAAACCCATTTCCAGATAATGATGTAAAAGTTTAGAAAAAATTATGAAACATGTCCCGTAACTAGAACTCAGCTATACCTAAACCAGAACTGTATTATTTCAATATATGAAGACAATTACGGAATGTAATACCTTCTCTTCTGAAATTAAAGAAATCATAGAGAAAAGTAAATACCAGAAATGTTAATTTTTCAGCACCACAGAAATTCTCATGAAACTAATAATATCTACTTGAACATTAATGCTTCTTTAGTTTCATTTCATGCTATATATACGTTGTGAACCTTTAAATAAACAGCTGTTTAAAGGATAAATATTAACAATAAGCTCTATAGCACTAAGTTCTTGAATTACAGGTTTAACTTTTTGAGTAGAAAATATAACTTTGACTGATGATCATTTAGCTCACTCTTCTTTCATATACAAAGAACTGAATTCAAGACTAGTTTACTAGTTATTTTTAAAATAAATCGGTTTTTATTATTACAGTTATTTATATTCTGTTTAAAAGCATTAGGTCAGGTAACTTCTAATTTTATCTTCCATAGTGTCCCAAATTGTCATCTATTTCACAGAATTCAGAAGAATTTGGAAAGAAAAATAAATACCCAGTAAGAACATTTTGTTGCTCCTCTATTTCAAGTTCTCATAAAATAACAACAATGGAGCCATAAAAGTTTTATGTACATTCTCTGTACATATAAAACTGTTAATGGAAATACTAGGATGTCCCTTCTAGAAAGGAGCTCTCAGATATTTTTAGAATTACAGAATCTAATGTAGAAGATGACAATAATAAAGTTCTTAAAAGCACTTTTAAAACCTTACCTCAAATATATCATGATGCACTGCTTCCCCCCGAATGTCATAATGGGACATCATCTCACCTCCACCAAAATTTTCAGAAGATAAAAAGCCCCAAATATAGTGTACTTCAGGTATTTCAACTTAATAGGTCAGCTATGGCGTTTTTTTTAAGTCTATTTTCAAAAAACCAAGCTAACAACAAACTATCAGTAAGACTCACATGCTTATTGAATATTATTTTAATCTACTGATGGAAAAATTTATTAATGTGTAAGTGAAAATAAGTCTAGTAACCTACTTAGTCATTTTTCAGTATGTGTTGATTAAGAAAAAAGCAGAAACCGCAGCATAAAAAAAGAACATATGCTCCAAAATATTCTGCTAGAAATAATACTGAAATACACTTGATGCTTGTACTGAGAACCTATCCTTAGGAAAACAAAAGATTGTAGCATTTGTTATGAGGTCACAGAATCCTATAGCATAAAGATTCTCTTAAAGTTCAAAGGTAGTCTGAAAGGAAAAGAAACCAAACTTACATCTATGTTAACTCAGATCCCACCTTTCTGCTTACAGGGTTGGTTTTTTATTTTTCAGAAATGATTTGAGAAAATACTTTAGGTGGGGTTTGGCCCTGTAATTACAGTAGAGAAATTCTTGGCAGAAAATCTTACAAAGAAAACATAAGTTGAAAAAAATCTTACCAGCTTTACTTGAAGACTGCACAATCTCAGCTAGTTACAGTGGAGAAGAAACAGTCTGCCAGAGCTCTCCACTAACCTTACCTGCCATTCTAATAAATCTTCTGTTTTTTTAACTACTTTGCAGAATAATCAAAATGTGGAATTTGAATACTTTCTATCTAGAATGATAAATAAAACTATACCAGTAATAAGTAAAAGCTGTTTGCTGGTGCTATTTTATAACTTCTGTACAGTAAACAGAATATTGTCCCAGTACTAGTGAGACTGCAACTATTAAGCTTATTAGCCATCTAAGGGCTAAAAGGAACATTTGACATTTGATCTGTTTGGAAATAAAGAACAATAACTTTATGACCATGAAAATCACGTAAGACTTCAAATAAATAATTATCACATGTAAATTTAAGGAAAAAAAAAAAGGAACAAGAATATTATAGTATTATTCCTAAGCCATATGAAACAGGACACAACTGCTATAGAATGAAGACAGTGGACTACTCCTCTCACCTGCTGATCACAGTAACATAGCACAACTGTTTTCTCAGGTAACAACTTGGTCGTTGTGCAGCAAAGGAATGATACACACATTTTAAATATTGCTTCAGAGTTGACGAAGGGTAAAAACAGTTAATGTTATATATATATCCAGTACTTACAAGTCTCCTTCATGCATGTCATGGTTGAAGAACACAACTCAATGACGCAAACTGCTGGTTTTCCTACATCCACTGGAGGCACTGTCAAAATGGAAACCTGTCAAGCAGAAAGAACAACTCATGTTAAAATGCAGAACAACATGGAGGATGAGGCAACCAACACAATTCTGAATAAGGGTGAAAAATACCTGTAGCCAGTTAAACCATTCTGTTTTCTGGTTTATCAGTAACAATTTGTGCAATCAATCCTGCAGAACTCAAGCACTTAGGAATTTCTACCCAAGTCAGAAAGGCCACTTTGTTAGGAATGTCTGCAGCAGCAGAACAGAAAGAAAACCTCACAGCCACAGCCCTTTCCAAATGATGACAGTTTAGCAACTGTTGGCAAGAGACTGCAACATCACTTCTGAACACTGGGCAGCGCACAGTTAGGTGAGAAGGACTGGAGTACTTTTATGCAGTACTAGTCATGCTAGTAGCATGACTTAAGAAGAATTATCCCTCACAATTGTTCTGATTCTGTGGATCCTGTTTAACCCCTAAGAATAGAGAAGAGTACAGAAGAAACACTTAACGCAGATTAATATTCTTTAAAATCAAGGACTGCAAAGACTGAAGACGAATAAACATTTAAAGAAGGATCTGAAAGTGTGCAACAAGAACTTAGAGCAGTAAAAGTGAATGTTAAAAAAACCAAAACCAAACACCAAAAAAACTTGGATCAAAGTTTAGACAAGATAAATTATTAGCAGTTAACAAAATACTAGGGGCAAGAGTTTATTAAAAAGCAAGCAAAATGAACTACCTTAAAGACAGCAGCTTAGAAACTGTTAATACAGAGTAAACCAAACAGGGAAACCCAAGCCACTGAACTAAAATAAAATTAAATGAGAATCATAGAATCATAGAATAGTTAGGGTTGGAAAGGACCTTAAGATCATCTAGTTCCAACCCCCCCTGCCATGAGCAGGGACGCCACACACTAAACTATGTCGCCCAAGGCTCTGTCCAGCCTGGCCTTGAAATTAAAATCCTAATAGTTTTATAGAGACAAATGAATTAAACCATTATCAGTAGAGAGAGCTGACCAAAAAAGCTGGATTCAAGCAGAAATAAAAGCATGAATTAAATCCTACCAATGACCAAATACGAATACATATAACTCATAAAGTAAAGCAATATAAAATTGATACATACCTGCTGCTCTGTATCTGTGTTTAGCACAGACTGGTCCGTAATGAGCACTGCCCTGGAGATCTGCCTACAATTAAATAAAACAACTATGGCATTTCACAAAAACTTCAAAAATAGCAATTTGGATTCATAGTTTTGGCAATACCAACCTAAACATAATACAGTGGGAAGGCTATTTAACCATATAATCTTTATTAGTATGACTGTTAGTGGAATATTTTCCCTGTTGCTGAAGTAGGAGCATATCTAGAACATAAAAGTAGTATTTTCAGTCACCAAAATGGATCATGAATAAATGAGCCAGTGCCATTACATAAACCAGCTTGAATATCCTGATAATTTAAAAAACCAAACTTTTGGTTATTTGAGCACGATTAATAGCAGCAAGTTATAGCACTTCTTACGCTCCAAACAGCACAGGACACTTCATTTTATGTGGAAAAACACAAGGGTGGAGTTCCTGAACTAAAGTTTCTAATCCTCCATTGCCTACAATTATTTCTGTATCACAACTGCTACCCCAGTTTTGCCAATATCTCATCTGCAATATTTTGAAGGCAAAGGCAGTGTATGTCCAATGTTTTTAGCAAGAAAAATAAAAATCACAGAAAACAATGTCTTTCAATACTTTTCTAAACCTGAACAGATTTAAAGAGGGAACAGCAATAAACACCTCCATCTTCCAAACACTTTTAGTAAATATGAAATCCTCAACCCACTTAGAGGTTTTGGATTTTTATATAAGGAAAAGTGGAATATAATTTAGAGGACAACTTAAAAAAACCTAAATATAGAAAGTATAGTTTGCCCTAAAGTGTATATAGAAGAGAAAAAACTATGGACCGAATTAAGCTGTACTGCAACGATAAACCAGGAAACAATATAAGTTTAATTTACAGGGTACTTCATGCACTATTATTTAAAGAGATTAACTATGTTTACTGTTTTGTTACATACCTGTAACACACATTTGTGCATATGCTCTCTGAGAGATAACTATCTTCCACAATAAAATAGTTAGCACTTATTCTTTGTCCAAAATGATCCACAATAGCTTTGCATCTGTTAAAAAAAAAAAAAAAAAAAAAAAGCCAAAACAAACAAACAAAAAAACCCCAAAATAATAAATTTAGACATAAGTTAACAAAGGAATGGGTAACTTTTCAAAATTGAATTATACAGCACATCATTTGTATCTTTCAAGTAAGTTCACTACACATTTCTTTAACATGTGAACCCCTAAACCAACTTAACTGAAATTGGTAACTAAATCCTAGACCTATACATTCTACCTGGTATATACAGTTTTTTACATGCTATGCATTTTAGGTAATATCAGAACATGAATAAACTGGTCACTTTAGAAGGAAAACTAAATATAAGCTAATAACACTGGCATTTGATTGTACAGGTGTTCTATTTAATTGTACATATTTTCCTCAGAGACATCATATTTTCAGAAACCCTTACAGGTAGGAGAAGCAACTATCTTGATGAATGCTTTTGCTATCTAAAATGCAAGTAAAATATGTGCACTACAATTTCTTTCTATAGCTTGTTTCCATAACCTAAGAATCTTTAAGGCTTAATACTGATTTCTAAACCAAGATTTTAAGGTTTTCTGAAATATCTGAACACTTACTCTATAAAGCCTATTAGCTTTACTTAACTTTTCCTTGGTGTATGAAAGTTACTGCCTTTTCTTTTTTAATTAAATTCTTCTGAATCATTATATATTGTTTCAGTAGATTTAATATACAGAAGATTCAAACCAAAAAATTCTCTCACAGGGAAACATCAAAAGAAACAAAAGGATGTCTAAGACATAGATCCCTTTATAGATTTAAATGTTTTATCACAGCACAACGTTATTTCTGTATCTGTAAATGTCTGACATGCTAATTATGCCTTATGAATAAACAGCATTTCTGTAACTTTATTCATTAACTTCTGTGATCAAAACAATTCATACAGCTAGAGATGAGAATCAAACTAGCCACTAGCTTGAGTAAACCAGTTGCTTCTACAGTCTGAAATGCAAATTGAAGAAGGGTGCACACAATGCTTACAGATGTAAGAGGTTTATGACAATTAAGCACATTTGAAAAATTCTAACTTCTAATGCTGATTTCATAAGAATCTGGATACTACATATATACCTACATTCAAATTCAACAGATAGATAACTTGAAAACAGTAATTAAAAGAAGACAAAAGGTCCAAGCATTGTTTAATTTCAAAGACATAGTATTCCTCATACAATTCCAATCACATTCTATTCAACATGTGTTTCACTTGCAACTTGAAGTTTTTTCTTAATGTTAACCTAAGTGATTTCATTCTCAGGCACTCATTTGAATGCTGCAAATAAACAAGGAAGTCAAGCTGCTACAGTGCATTTCTAATTATAACCTTTCTTATTGTTTATGAAACAATTTCCCCTGCCATCCCCCTACACATTATCGAAGGGGAAAGGTTGATTAAATGTCATGTTGCATCACTCAAAGCCAGCAAAAGCAACTACATAGTTTTTATTTTCCTGCTAACTGTTGTTTCCTCTGCTTTGTTCAGGAATAGCTATCACATCCTATGTTTGATAAGATTTTAAACAGAGAGAGAGCACTTTTAATTTCAGTCTCCACTTTACTTCAAAGGATGATGCTGAGAAAATTTCTCTCAAGTACTGCTTCCAAATACAGAAAACACTTATGCACTGACATTATCAGGTCTCTGTCATCTGATATGTGTGGCGACAATGAATCATACAGAACCCTCCATTGACCTTCTTTCAATGTGTCTAGATAAAAGGATGAAAATTAGAATCCATCTCCTTGCAGTGCCACGAGTTATAAATGTACTTTATAGGGCTCATTATCCAAACTAATGGACTAAGGGCGACATCCTTGAAATGGACTTACCAGCACTGACAAAGCCAGTATGCAATATTTCAGGACAGATATGTAAATTCCTGTGTGTTTGCTATATCTTTTTATTACAGATGTATAAATTTCCATTTATCATCTCTTTTCCATTTTTGAGACAGAATTATGTAATTGGGAACAGATGTAAAGTGTGATCAACATAAAATGCCTACCATTATTATTAATGCAATCTATGTAAAGTACTGTAAATTTTATCATATGTACCCCAAAAAGGGCCTATAGTAAACCCGAAGAAAATAAACAACAGAAAGAAAAAATTAACATGTACACATTTGATGCGCCTTTTTCTCAACGTAAGGAATATGACATGGGTTTTATTTTCTAACAGAGCACCAGAGTTCTACCAAGAACACAGGATGTTCTGTGTATGAATTAAATGGCAGACCTCATCTGATACAACAGATAAAAAATAGACTTTTCAAGAGGATTACCAAAATCTTCAAATAGGTACATCTAAAACCTTCTCTACTTTCACACAGTCTTCCCTGAATCTTATTTTCATAAACTATAAAAAGGATTATAGTAAAACAATAAAAATAATTGTATAGTTGGGGATAAAATCTACTATTCTCTGTGTATACAGTTACGAGTAGTAAAAAAGTGAAAAAGAAATTCAACTAGATATTGAATGGGGTTTTATTTTTCTTGTGCTGAAGAGAACGTTCGCCATGTCTAGAAAGGAGCTGGAATAAAATTTGGTAACGTTTAAGGACCTCATATTAAACTCTCAACTATCAACAAAGAGATTGAGAAGAAAATCAAGGCTATAGATCTAAGTACAAATTTTCTTTTTGTACTTGTACTAAAGAAAGAATATTAAAAGTAGTGAAAAAATAACTGCACTAAGATACTGGTGAAGTCTGGAAACCTATGGAAGATGCTTATAAAATAGTAATGAATAGTGTGCAATTTGGCTACATTTCTACTGTTGGGAGTTCAAGCTATTTGTAATGAAAGGAAGCTGCCTCTGAAACTACAGTAGCAGCTGTAATGACAACGAGATATGAATTTGTCTATTACCAATTACTATTAATAGCCTGTTGACTCAAAAGCTCAGTAACTCATAAATACCCTCATTAACAATTTGATAGCTGAATTTTATTAGGCAAAACACTGAAGTCCAAAGTCAAAGAGGAAATTAGAGCTGGTGCAGGAAGGAAATACACTATAAGGAAAGAGGTAACAGGAAGAAAGAAAAAGAAGGGAAAGAAATAGCAAAGATCTTAGCAACAAAGTGGACAGCTTGGTAAGTAACATTCAAAAAGACTTAGCAAGAAAAAGCAGTATTGCATTCAGGTGAAGGAAAACAAAATGTAGAGAATATAACTGAATATACCTGGGTCAAAGAAACTCAGCTTTTTGAGTGACACGTTTGCTACACTGAAGACAAAGTTTAGGACTTTTAAAAATTATTAGGGAAAAAAGAGAACATTATGACTTTCTTTCATTGCAGAAAATACTTTTTTTTTAAAACATATTTTGACATAGGCTGTGTTATTTGCATTATCTCCAAGAAGTCTGACACTTCTATACATTTTTGTTTGGTTGGTTACTTTTATTCTGATGTAGAAATGCTACTCGGTAAACCACCTGCTTTCAAACTATGGGAGATCTAAAAAGAGCCAACAAGAGCAGGCAGGTGGCTCCAAGGAAAAGCCAGGTGACTAACCTGGGGAAACTGGATGTGTTGTGCTTCTTCCTATTCAGCATCAGATAATGGCATTATTAAAAGACTTTTTTTTTTTTTAATATGAAAGTCTGATAAAGTCTTTTAAAAATATTTCAATCGTTCTGCATCTCAAAAATCTATCCTTCAGTTTTAACTGAAAATGGCAGAAATAAAGCACTAAAGCAGCGTGATAGCTAAAAAAGACACCTGAAACCTACGTGGAACCCTGAGGAATTTAGTAGGTCTAAAACATAAAAGCAGGATAAAGGAAAAGCAGCACTCTTTTTTGGAATACATATAACCTTAACATAGAAAACATTAATTTCAAAGGTCTTCAGAATGTGCAACAGAAGCTGTAAACTGAGGCAACCAATACTACTGATGACTTAAGTTCTCCCTAGAGTGGAGTCTGGAAGTTGCTAATAACAATAAGCTTCGTCGCTCTGAAAGAGCAAGTTAACTACTTAAACGTTTTTGTAAAATAAAAGTGCCTACAGTAATATGTCAAATATTACTCTTAAAATCAACTACAGAGTTTATGAAAAGGGCATAATTTCATTTGCATATAAATCATGCACTTAAAACAACAACAAAAGTGATGAAATACTATCACATTTGCATCTCAAAGTCTAGAACTGTGCAATGAACTTCAGAACCTCAAGGAACTGACAAAGATCAAATCTGTTGCTTGACCATACCAGGACAAATCGAGCTACAAGTACCATGCTCAAAGAATCAAATGTGCAGTGCAACTGGAAAGTAAACACATTACACTAGTCATTTAAGTGCTAATTTTCCTAATAAAATGTTACTACGTATTTTCTAGCTTAATGTTAAAAATTTTCTACAGAATGTTTTGAACTTCTCTATTATAGAAAATAAGCTTGAAACAGACTCTTGAGAGCTGAAGTCTCCAGTTAAACTAGTAACTGATTGAATGTATACAACAGAAACCATGACAATTTATAGAGGTGTGAAAAATACCACTATGGAAAAAACTATGGGTTGATTTTTCTTAGCTCAACTTTAAACCTGCCTAAAGGCCTGATATTGTTGTAAAAGAATTTATCCTAGGATAAGAGGGCAGCATAGTTTATGACAACAATCTACCTAAAAACTCATTAAAGTCTTTTCTCTTGGAGTGACATGCATTATCAGCAAAGATTAATCTGATGAGTCTTTAGGTGAGCTCCATTTTTAAAAATGCAATAACAGAGGGCTTTGTTGTCATCTGATGAAAATCAATTAGAGTAGGTAAGGCCACAAGGAAAACTAACATCACTCATCACCAGCCCCCCGGCAGCTGAAATGATTTGTCTTCCAAGCTTGGGTGATCAGGAGCTGTAGTAATATCACAGGGAAATTAATTTAGTTTCTATATTCTAGACCCACTTTCCTTGTTCTGGAGGACCTATACACAAATTACTTTTAATCAAGGTTGATGTGTTATTAATACCAAGGAGGATCTTTGAAGAATCATTTTTTTTAAATTGACTTAACACATTTTTCATCTGTATTTTGTATATAAACAGAAGGTTACTTATATTACCCTTACCGTCCAGATTCTTTGTCCACTACAAGGCACTGCACAGAATGGCGAAGACAATAGATACCACCAAATACAGCACACAACCTAGAAACATATTAGGGGGGAAAAAAAACACAGGTTACTCTTAATAACTAACTGTAATCAGCATTAGTGTGTGTCATAAGCAGGGCAAAGTACTGTGCACGCTGTAGCACATTTTTAATGACGTCTCAATCTCTGAATTGGACAATCAAAACCAATCAAAATAAAGCATGTCCTATAGGTTTTTTTTAAAGGATATGTTGTTAACTTCTTTTTTATTAGCATCTATCTTATTCCTCTGAATAGTTACATTAGCTTGAACACTCATTCTGTTGCCATTTTCAGTCATTCAGAATGGAAAAGCACCTATTTACTAAAAATGCATAGAATAGCTACTGATGTTCTGACGAACATGCTGTAGACCAACAAAGTAAGAACACATGAGAACCGTCCCAACCTCCTACCAGAACTGTAAATGTAATTCAGAAGTATTTTTCTACTCTTACAAAACGTACCATCAGAACTTCATTAACTACCAGCAGCTCAGATTTTGAGGGCACTGAGAAGTGCTACAAGAGAATGAAGACTTCTTCCAGTCTAAAGATGACCTCTTACAAATATATCATGACACAGTTGCTCAAGATATTCTGTGTCTGGACTGGCAACAAAAAAAAAAAAAAATCCTAAATTAAAAAAGGAACCAGGTTGACAGGTCAGTTTTCAAAAGCTAAAGGATGCCAACCTATTTAGCAGTCTTCCACTTAGAAAACAAAGCCCAATACCTAAAACACAGAAAATTAATGCTACCCAAACATTATGCCAGTATTGCAACTCCTCTGTTTGTAAACCCCAAGGAGACTCAGAATTTAAATAAACTAGATTATAACATTTAAATATGGGGGACTCCATGTGAAGTCAGCCCACTGCAAAATTTCATCACTAGCCCAGGCGTTTCATCACCTCCTTGTATGTATCTTTGGCTAAAACTTGTCACCAGATGACCCTTCCTATGCACAAAGCCTGAAGCTGCTCTCCAGTGAGGCTGCGCAGTAGAAGTTCAGTTGGTCTGGTATAACACATGATCCCAGGTTAACCCCTGCATCCTAACTTCCTGGATCTGCCAAAAGCCAGGCTTAGTCTCTGGGGATTACTTTTCTGTTGATTCGATGTGACACAAGGTAAATTAATTCACAAAAACCCAGATGTTTAGATTTTGCAAAGTGATGCCTGAAGTTTTTACTGGCCCCACATTAGCACTGAAATGACTGTGATATCACTAGTTTTAACATTTTTTTAAGTTCTAGCTCTTGAAAGATTTTAACATAACCCCACATTTTTCAAAATCCTGCCAAGCAAATATAAAGAACCAATATCCTTTTTACTATATACTTTAAGACCTCTTTAAACTTCCTGTGACACCGCTATAATGCAGAGAAAGTCAGGATCCTACAGGAACAGAATATAAGTTAGACATTCTCAAGGACTTCATGATCAGGTGCGAATCAAGATAAACTTCAGCCAGTTTTTTATTTACAGTGCTTTATTTCAGGAGCATTCCTATTATAAGAATAACACAAAATGGAGGATGAAGTTCTCTAGAACTTGGTGTGACAAAAGGTAAACCAGTAGAACATTTTGAAATATATTTCTCAAATTATGTTAAAAAAGAAATAATCTCTTTACTCTAGTCAACATGGAAATTACCTAGTGGGAAAAAGGTAAAAAAAAAAAGAGGGGCAGATGTGTCTGAACCCTTACAATGTAATTTCAAGTTTGGGCTGTTTGCAATGTCTCATCTCTCTTGTGAATCTTTAATGTACTATTTTATTTGGATCAATCAGCTATCCCTGACCTCTTCTCCTGTGTGCTGAAGAGAAAGAACGAACAGATAGTTGGCATACTGACATAAACTGCATACCCTTTTCTCAGAGAGAACTGCTTTATCAGAGACAACTGCCAAATGCTATCAAGCGCCATTTGATAATTCCTCCTTTGTCCTACTAGTTAAATACACCTGTATTCTTCTTGTGATCCCTATTATTCAAAAGCCTCTTGTGAGTAAATCATAAAACAGTCCATAGCACATTCAGTGTAGTGACACTCTGTTCCATTTCACCATGTCAGGGATGGAAACAGTTTTCTGGGTTCCTGTTATTCAGCCAAGCTGTGTTGTGACCCAGCTACATGATGTGAAGCTCACAGATGGAAGGACAGAGCTGAGACTGGGAGGGCCTAAAAATTAGGAATTCTACCTGCCATTTCATTACCAGGGACTGTTTAGGCATTGTATTTAAAATGTATAATTCTATTTATCTTTTGGTATAGTTTACACTGTAATTTAACAGATTAGTGTGGCTTCATTTCTAATACCTTCCTAGCATTAGCTAGGTGTCAGGCTAGCCAAAGCAAACAATCAGTATGAGAAAGGCAGGCTGGTTTTGGTGGAACGTAGCTTTCCCAGATGTCTGGGATGATAGCAGGATTTTCCTGGCTTATTAACAGTTGGGGGTTTTTTTGTTTGGTTTATTTGGGGTTTTTAGATTTTATTTTATTTTGAAGAGCTTTAAGTATGTGTTTCATAGATGATGAACCTGAAAAGAGAACTTTTAGTTTGTGAACCTGACTTCCTAAAATGGAATCCATACTGGCATTCAAAAGTCCTATTACATATTTTGAAGATAGTTAGCACCATAAGACCTTTTAAATTATATGAATTATACAGTATGGCAAACAGCTGAAGTGCGTTGCCAACTCACATCTCTTGAGCTGTACTCCAAAAGGCAGCAGCCCTAGGAAAGCTCAGCAGTATCTTACTACTGGCTGAATCAGATCAGCTGGTTCCCTAGAAACACCTCCTTTACCTATGCAAAAATAGGGAGAATATACACCATGTTGAACGCAGGCCTTGGTTTTCTGGAGTTTGTTGAAGATGACACAAAGGTTAAACATCCACTGAAGAATTATTATAGAGCTTTGAGCTATAGGCTTATTATCTCTAATGCTGCAATCAATGGCTTCTTGCCTGACAAAGCATGTATGAGGACCTTTCAAACCAACTCAGATGAATTTATTTCATATGTTGTATATAAGAATAGCACTATTAACTAGAACTAAGATTCTTCTGTTAAAAACTATAAATTATATTTTTCCTTTGACTTCAACCACAGTCAGGGGCTTTTGAATATATGCACTTTATTTTTCTAGTGTGCTTTGAAAGAACTTTGCTGCTTGGCTGCACAAAAATGTGAATAACTTATTTTCAAGAGTAGCCTGCTATCCAGTGGAGGAGGGCATGACCTGTTTTCAGAGTAGGCCAGCAGAAAACTTCTCTTTTCAAATGAAAATGGAAAGGAATTTTGATTGTGTTGTGTTTAACAATTACAAAGAGCCAAAATACCTATTAAAATAGCCTAGCATGAAAAATGACATGATTAGGAAGAACTTGCCAAAAATTATTTAAATATAGAAACTGAAATATTAAACTAAATGGCATCCCGATAATTTATGGCAAAGTAAAATCATTGTGCTAGCATTACTTTCATACAATAGGCTATTCAAGATGATTTGACTGTACTTCAAGTACAAGGCAACTCTTTGATACCATTAACCCTAAATGACAGACATTTAAACTGATATTACTCTAATTAACTGGCGACTGCCTACACCAATAATTCAAGTTTTGCTGAAAGATAGCAACAACACTGTACTCAACTTCAACTTTGCCCTGGTGACATCAAATCATATTATAGCTAAATTAACAGTTGTGAAAATTTTTGGCCTGGTAGCCCTCCATAATGCACACTCTTTAAATGCCATTTCAGTTCCCATCAAGGCAGGAATCAGCAGTTGTAATTTTTAATATAGCTGTGAAACAATAGGACATATGAAAAGCTGAATTTCTGACAGCATATTCACAATGATTTATGAGTTTGTATATAATTTGATTATTCTATTAATTTTACTGATTACTGATTCAGCTAATATAGTGAAGGTCACCTACAAAATAAATCTTCATTACATTTCACAGAAAGTAACTGCCTCCAACTAGTTGTTTTCTTTAATTAAACGCTAATGTAACAAGAGAGAAAATAGGCTTCAGGGTTGCTGCATCTGTTGATACAAAAGGAGTTTACTGCTTTGATGTAATGCTCTCCGATATTAATTGAACAAAAATAGAATGTCTCTCCATCTGACACCTTGATATTCCACACAGATACCATAAACACCCTTAAATTACAGACTTATCTTGTTCATTCTGAAACTACATAAAAGAATTGGAAAACCATACCACAGTTACACACCAAACCCCTAGTTTTCACTTTTCTCATATAGTTTGTCTTCTACTTTCTAAAAGGTATGGAGTAATTATGAAATCAAGTATTTTTCTCCCCAGCTGTACAGTCTTCTATAGCAAAAACTATTTGCTTCTCTCCTTAAAGATGAATTCCGCATGTACAGCACAGCAAGCTTGGAGAAAGATCAAAGCAAAACATGCCAAGTGCTGAATTAATGGATTGTCCTCTTTCAATTTATTTTTACACACAGAGCAAGCCGTGACCTGGTTCTTATGTTAAATTCTACGGTTCCTGAAAGTTCCCTAGAACTTCAGCATTTCCTACAATATTGTTCTATGTTTCAAAAACATTATCAAGTAGAATACAGACAAGTCAAATAAATCAAATAGCTACAGTTAAAAGTATAGTTTTTCCCAGCATAGACGTCTCATGGAAAAGCCAAACCTCGGTATGTGCACCCACCCAGATGAAGGAAAGGAAAAAAAACACAAAGCAAAACCAACCAAAAAACACCACCAAAGAAATAAGATAATAATTGACATGAACCAGAACTGTGCTGGCATTTGGAGAACTATGTGCTCAAAGAAGCAAATGAAGAGTCAAATATATTGACTTTTTCCTAAAAACTGTGTTCAGCATTCCTGTGAAATCTTAAAAAACATCCTAAAAGATTACAGAGAATCAGCCTGATTTCTAAATCCAGTGAGCAAAATCACAGTTTTAAAACTGTCAGAAAGTTCCTGCATAGTTATCAAATGGAAATTAGTC